CGGTCCCAAACTCTCCAGACGAACATATCCCTCAATATGTTCATGAGAAGATAAAACATGTCAGAGAGGGAGAATGATGACAAAAATAAGCTCAGAGAGAGAAAACAGACGGGCAAAAGGGAGTTAATGGAGGGCACGAATGGAAAGGCTGGGTGGAGAAGTCAACGTTCCTGAAGAGCTGAGAGTAGAACAGCTGTGTGTGTGTGTGAGGCCCTAGAAGCAAGCTCTGTTTGTGTGTGTCGAAGGGAGTAGTGATTAATGGCCCACAGGCCTTGTTTCTCTTGCTTCCTTCCTCAGCAACGATGTCACACACACACACCGTCACATGTCAGCCTAATGGACACGGGCAGACAGTGGCGGGAGCTGCCCGTCGTTCCAGACTCGCACGCACATTAAGAACATGCATGCATGTCAAAAATCCCATGTTTTTATTGAAAGAGAAACAAAACAAAAAGAGCACAAATTTCACTGTGTGGTTCGTGGCGAGAGAGCCAGCAGCGTTCGTTTTGTGCACTGATTATGCGCAAGAAAGAAAGAAAGAAAAGAACAGGAGAGAAAGACGTTGTGCGTCAGAGAAAAAAGGAGAATGTGCGGCTGAGAGAGAATTCAGTGTTTGCATGTGTGCCAGTTCCCAGCCCTGTCAGTGAGCTGTCAGAGCGTGATTTATGGTTGTGAGACTCACAGCAGTCCTTGCTGCCAGTTCAGTATTGTTACAACTGACATCTAATGAGGCCAGACGTGCTTTCAAGCACAGCACTTAACACAGGCCTCCATCTCCACCAGTCACAGGCCCTCTTTTCTCCTCCTCTCGCACTCCCATTTATTTTCTGCATCTGGGGTGGCAGACCAAGGAAAGGAGGAAAGACACTGTCTTGCTGCTAGAGCTTACAAAACGGAGAGCGCAGATGAACCTGCAGCCAGCAGGCTTTTTTCCATCCATCTCTCCCCCTCCCCTTGATACAAGCCTGCACAATGGCAAATTAAAGTAGAGCGAACCTTAATATACTGATGACTTTGCTTTGAAAGGCAATATCTCACCGTTTTTCTACGCCATTCAATTTTTCAACTGCTTAGTAATTGTTTGGAGGATAGTCTGCGCTCTGGTCTAATCATATTGGTGGCTGTGTCATTTTGAAAGGGAGGAGGAGTAATGCTGGATGAGAGCTCCTTGGCTTTGACTTTTTCCTGATCTTGGGTTTCTGCTCCGCTCCTCTTCGGGCTGCTAGCTTAGTCAGGACCCCTCGCAGTAATCATAAACAGAGCCGCTGGCAGCGGCACCCACGTACTGCGCTCCCTCCCTACACCCCCTGCTCCAGTTCCTTGTCAGACGTGATTAATGGCACACGGGCCCGGTGCGCTTTGCGTTGCCAGTTCCAGCGATGTTCCCTTGATACTTAATGAAGTCTGACAAACTTCTTTTCCCTCATTGTGTTCCAGTTATTTTTCCCCGCTCCAGTTAAGAGAAGCCCAATGTAGCTAAATTTGCCACCGCCGCACAAAAGCACAGGTCAAAGATTTCATATTTATTGCGCAGTCGAGGAGCGCAGCCTATAACACCGCTGGCAACGTCGGCTGTTTCTCAGGCAGCTCGTGTTGTTGTTCATACTTCAGATTTGAGTAGTTTTGATTGCAGTCATTAGACGTTCCACAACTTCAGTTCCAAGAACTAAAGGTCGCAGTGGCCTTACAGGACAAGGTCTGCGGTGTCTCAAACACATGCGCTGATTTTACTTACTGCCATCCAGTGGAAGATCTTGTAATATATATATTTTTTTGTTACTGTGCAAAGATCCGTGGCTTTTTTTCAGAAGAGGCAGAACATAGGAATATTACAAAATATAAGATTAAATAATGTGTAAATCACTAATTTTTCCTAAAGTAATGCAGTCCACTAGCAACAACGGCAGAAGAAAAAAACAGGTTTGGCTGATTAGCCTGTCAATGCAATGATGTCCACCTATCATGCTCGCAAACCAGCCTGAAATGGTAAAACTGGTGGAAACAGATGGACAAATTACAAAGAAAACAAGTTACACACGCAGACATCACCACTTCAGTCATGTCCAAATTGAAACTACGTAAAATGATTAACTGTGAGGAGCGAGACATTTTTAGCAAGCACACAACTTTCTTAAAATGTAAGATGAACATAATACTCGCTGATTAGCAGTTGGTAGCAGCAAAAAAAAAGTATGTGCTTACTGTTTTATTGTAAATACATATTAAGCAATGAGGGGGAAGAAATGTTTTGTTTTATTTTGATGCGTTTTAAAAAAAAAAATGCATATATCAATATTTAAAAAATAATAATATATATATATATATATATATATATATATATATATATATATATATATATATATATATATATATATATATATATATATATATATATATATATATATATACACATACAGGTGCATCTCAATAAATTAGAATGTCATGGAAAAGTTCATTTATTTCAGTAATTCAACTCAAATTGTGAAACTTGTGTAGTAAATAAATTCAATGCATACAGACTGAGGTAGTTTAAGTCTTTGTTTCTTTTAATTGTGATGATTTTGGCTCACATTTAACAAAAACCCACCAATTCACTATCTCAACCCCATTTCATTTAAAAAAATGTAACTCAGAAAAAAAGAAGCTTAAATATCCATATTTTACATGTCTTTAGCCTGCTGCATTGTAGAATACATTATGATTTGAAATTTAAATTAATTCAAAGGCAATCTAAACAGCATAATTAACATAATTACTATGCAAAAGAAATGCAAACCATGTTGTTGATGGTTAGTGTTGATAAAGAATCAGTAGCGTGGATAGGAGAGAACGTACACTTGGGAGAACAGAGCTGTGATATGTTACAAAACTTAAACAGGTATCATTTTAACAGAACACTACTGGTCTGCTACAAGAGCATCAAGGATATTTAAAAGAAAAAGAGAGAGAAACCAGCTTACAGAGCCACTGTGCTGTTTTGTTGCCTTCTCTCTAATGCATTTAGTCTCTGCGGTGAAGACTGAAGACTGTACTCTGTACCAGCAGGGGGCTCTGTTGTTGCAATTTAAAAGCAAAGCAAGTCAATACATAAGAATACATAAATAATAGGCTACATACCATCAATACATAAAAAGCGCTGCAGCATTTTCATGTAGTTTCTGCCATCTTGCAAAACACTTTGAGGCATAGTTCAGCTAGAATGGAAGTCATAACTAGTCTGGTGAGCAGAAATATCCTTTTCAAACTGTTCAATGCTAATACGTCAGTGTCATGCATAGAGCGGTCTTTAACCTGCTGTGCCTACCACACAAGTAAGCTGTAATTGTATCATGACATGTCCAATCAAATAAATCAAAGAGCCTTCACTTGAAGAAACTCTTTGCTAAGAAATTCATTACATGGTGAACACTTCTAACCTAACTTATCTATCTATCTAACCCTAACTCTGTGCAGAAGACAAGCCACCAGCCTGTATTAAAAGTATAATACTGAAAGCTAACAAACATGGAAACATTTGGTTTTCATTAGTGCAGTGTACAGTAGCTTGGACTAGTTTTTCCAGCCTCTTTGGAGACCCCCTTGTTGCAGTTATGAGATACATAGCAAATAAGAGAAAGTCACAACTGATAAATAAGTAGCAATTACGAGCTTGAAAACACAACGTCCATAACACATTGTATTCACTGGCACAAATATGCTGTGGTTACTGGGACACATTCAAGCATTGTGCTAAATCTACATATTTTTTTTAAATAAGTGCTTACCATCCTTACTGAATCAGGACCCATATTTTGCAACCCAACAATGATTTACTGTATTAAGTTATATCTGAAATATTCTGTCTACTGAGAACAAAGCATCACAAACAGGGCTGTACACAATTCACACTTAAAGTATTATCTCTATTTCAATTTATGAGTTGAAATTTACATTTATTTGGCCACACCTCACATGAAAATAGGTATTAAAGAAGTGGAATTTACTGCATGACAATTCAAAAAGAAATAGGTAATGGCATTGACCTGGTAAGTATTCTACTGCCCTGGTACATAAATACAATCTGTATCTATCTTCATCAAAAATCTATTTAGTTGAAGACATAATATAACTATAAAAAGTGATCTTGATCTTGTTTACTGCACATTACTATATCACAATAAATCACATTGTCAATTTACCACCCTTGTCTGAACTACAAGCATGTCACAGGAATACTATACCTTTTTTCTTTTTTTTTGAAATGGTGAACATTCCCATACCAGTAGATTAACCAGTAGAAAACAAGAAACTAACTATGCTGCCATTTACTGCATGTTCTTGAATGTTGAGGAAAGTCTCTACCAGCAGAGGGCGCTCTTGCTACAGAAAGGTTTATATATTACTTTCTTTCTTTTACCACCTTTGTAATTGTGATTATTTTAAAAATATGTAAGTGATATATGATAAGAAATATGTTCCAAGCTAGTTAACAGGAATGCTTTTTTATCTCGAGATAAGAGAAACTATTAATAGGGGGGGAAACACTGTACAACACTACAAGCAATGCCTTCTAATTCTGCAAATAGGAAAAATAAACAAAGACAGGGTTCTCAACCAGTCAAGCATAGCATTTTCACTTCAACTCCATCAGCTGCACTTTTTAATAAAGCAAAAGCAACAATGCAACTCCATATCATTCCTGGACTCATTGCTGACATGCACCATGATCAAATTATGTTCAAGACATATAATCAAAGCAAATGCTGTAAGAAATGACTTGAATAACATCTGATAACCATGAAGTTGGCTGATAGAACTAGAAGCTGCTTAGAACAGCAGTGGAATGGCAAAGCCAAGCACATGACTCAGAATGACTCTCTAACAAGCACACACAGCATGTACTGACCTCTCATATTTACAGCTCAAACTTCAAAGCCAAGCTAAGTGGCGTTGTGTCAATGTCTAGGCGCATTACCAACACGCACTGGTGGGTTTTGTGTTGTGCATACACTGTACAGTACCTTGCTTTACTTGTTTCATCAGATCTTGAAATAACATACACGTATATACCCCAGCTTGAAGCTGTTAAGACAGCTTGGGCCTGTATATCATGAGTGTCTGAAAGAATGTATATTCTTACATATAATAAATACTAACCCTCAGCACCTGAGTCTTATATTATATATAGTATATTTGATTATTAATATTTATTTTATTTATGTTATAATTGAAACAGAATTGAAAAATGTAAACCTTTTCCGTGGCCAAACGGTTTGTACTATTTCACTGACGACAAAATTACTAACCTGGCCTCAGTACTTTCAAGACGCTGTCCTTTTTTGTTTTAACGCAGCAGTCACATATTGTGTCTTTGACAACTACAGTTACTTTTAAAGCATCAAGTGGAAGATGACAAGCGCTGAATGACTTCAATAACCACTCTTCACAGACTTCTCAGAAAAATCGTCATTTGGCGTTGTTTACCATCTCTAGCTCCGCCACGAGCGCCAAACAGTCAGCGCGTGATCACCTCAACGAGCGCGCACACTTTGCAGGCCTAGAAGTGTCTCTTTTCACTTGAAATGGTGTTTCCCAACCTTTTTTTCAGTCGCGGCACCCTTTGGAAATTTTAACAAACTTGTGGCACCCTACAAAATTAATTTTGACACAATATTTAAATTTCTATCTTCGATATGATCATTTGAAAAGTATAGATATTCGGTACAACAGGGAAGAACTGCAGAATATAATGTCATACAGATATTTTTAATATTATTAAAAAATTCTGTCCATCAATGGTGGCAATCAGTAGGCTAATTTCTAATGAAAATACCTATTTATATGACAGATTTTAATGTAGGCTTTTATACACATGTAAACATTATTTAATTACCATTATAACTAGCTATCTCACAAATTTTTGCTCACTCAGTGTTTTTTCAATTTTACAGTGGGGTAATTGTGGTGCAGTAGCACGAGAGCTTGATTTCAAACTTTGAACTGAATAAAAAATGACAAGTAAGCAGTCAGTAATAAAATAAGAACAAATAAAGAAATTAATAATGGTAGCACAAATAAAAAATAACGACAGGCCTTCGAATTAAATAAATTGCTTTTTAGTTTTTCAGGTAGATCTAACAGTAGGGTTAAGATATTTAACTTTTTTTTCTTTCTTTTTTTACCAATTATCCAAATAATGTTTAGTCCTAGAAAGCTATTATTATCAGAAAACATGAGCATAACTGTCACGAATCCGGTCCATGAACTTCCATCTGCTAGCCATCAGAGGTCACCCTTTCCAATTTCATTGACTCTCGCACTACACACTGTTGCACATCACCCCGGACTACATATCCCATCATTCATTGCCCTGATTGCACTCAGCACGGATTGCACACAGCTGTTAACAATGATTGCACCCAGCTGTTTCATATCAGTCCCTCACTATTTAACACTCACTCTGATCCCTTCCCTCCGCCGAGTGTTGTTTAGCATTTATCAGTTTGATAGCTACACTACAGAGCCCTCATTAGCAGTCTAGTCTAGCCTAGCCTAGCCTAGCCTAGCCTAGCCTAGCCTAGCCTAGCCTAGCCTGTGTTCTCGGTTTTTGATCTTCGCCTGTTTTCCTGGATTTATCCCTTTAGTCTTGTCCCTTTTGATTCTGTCTGCCGATCGTCGATCTATGCTAGCCCTAGGACTATTCTTGTGTTTTGCTCGCCATATACCTGTCTGCCTTTATCTGACCCATGCCTGTTTCATGACCACGTCTCTGTCTTCTAAATAAAAGCTTGCATATGGATCTGCACGTCTCACGTCTTGTCAGCCCCGTAACAGAAACATAGCGGTTAGCATATCAATGAATGAGAAGGCAGCGTTACCAGAGTTGCCCATATACCACACCATGTTGCAACACAGTAGGGCTATTGCAGACAGAAACAATACTGTACTACATCAATGTTTCCTGTCGGCTCAATGTTTGAGTGGACTTCGCTGTTCCGATGAGCATGAACGGTATACTAGTGGAGCGACTGAGCGGAGCGCACACATAGAGCGGGATAGTGAAACCTGAGCGGTGAACTCATTTTCGGCAGCCGGAATTTCGGTGCATCTCTAATTATTGACGAAATCAGAAATGGATATTATATAATAGATGTTTTTTGAACATTTCAGCAATTTAAAAATATTAAAAAATTATTTTTAACACGGCACCCCGGTTGGGAAACACTGGTCTAGACAGAGCACCAATTCAACTTTTTTGGATGCCAACTGCCATTAAACACCAAGGAAGAAGAAATGGCGTCCTAAAACCGCGCTCGTGTGGAAATTTTGGAAAACCAACAAGACGCAGCACAACTTTAAAAGAAGTCCATCTAGTGCATGTTTACACAAGAATTAATAAAGAAATTTACTTTCATGAATTTAAGGACGAAATGATAATTTAAAAAAATTAGGAGTATAGGTATAAATTTGTCTTCACGTGTGAATTTTGTAAAATAAAAAGGTAAAAGAATAGCTATGGTACACAAAAATACATAGATTTTTTTCAGTCGAACAATGACCTTGAGCAAGCAAGTGCAATACAAGCAAGTAGGTTAGATGTATAAAGTTCAGTAATAGTACTTTTCATGTGGCCATTAACTATAATTAACATTATAATGCTTGTGAAATTCTTAAACCATGTTTGAAGAAACTAGTCAGAGACAGCCCAAACTCCTTTAGCTCAGGACAATTTAAGTGGGAAGCATGGTTTAATCTACAAGAGCAGCAAACCAGTACTAAGGATTTGCACCAACATAATTTTTAGTAACAGGTTATAACCATTACAGGCTATATTTTATTTACTAATATGGTACAGTATTCTGGAGAGAGAGAAAAAACTTTGGTAGTGTTGTCATGGTCAAACATTTGATTTGACAGTCTATTTCCTAACGTTCTTAATTTAAAAACGCTTATGAGTTACACAGCACAATTCAGTAGAATGAGGCCATGGCTTCAGAGTCTAAACTTTAACAATGCTCCTCAGAACAAAACTATTGCATCACCCTTTGGTTTTTACCACATTTGGGTCTTCTTGCAAACCATGAGATTTACATTTAGTCATTTTGCAGAAGCTTTTATCCAAAGCGACTTACAATTGGGGGATACATAAAGCTATTTTTCTTAAAGAGGCAAACAGATACAGGAAGTGCTTGTAATACCAAGTTTCTAGGCATTGTTCAAATAAGTACAAGCTAGAAAGAGAAGGAATAAGTAAAGAGATAGAATCTTTTTTTTTTTTTTTTAAATGAAGTCAAGTAGCTTCAAAAGAGATGAGTTTTCAGCTGGCGCTTGAAAATTGTCAGAGAATCAGCATTCCGGATAGGGGTGGGAAGATCGTTCCACCAGCCAGGAGTGGTGAACGAGAATGTTCTGGAAAGTGATTTTGAGCCTCTCTGTGATGGTACCACGAGGCGTCACTCACTAGCGGATCTCAGACTTCTGGAGGGGATGTAGATTCGTAGTAGTGAGTGGAAGTAGGCGGGTGCTGAGCCTGTGGCTGTTCTATATGCAAGCATCAATGTCTTGAACTTGATTCGAGCCACAACCGGTAGCCAGTGCAAGGAGATAAAGAGAGGGGTAACGTGGGCACGTTGAAGACCAGTCGTACCGCTGCATTCTGAATCATTTGTAGAGGTTTGATTGTGCTTGATGGAAGATCCCACGTGTACATAAACATGCAGACTCTCATAGCTTTCTATACCAGTAGATTTAATATTTATTCATTTACAGGTCAAGTAGAAAGAGCACAATTTGTACAAATACATGTAACATTTGACAAGAGCCATGTTCATATCTGTAACATTGTTTAAAAGATTAAGCTTAAAATACAGTGACTTGCATCACAAACGAAAATGGTTAACTGGATCAAAAGAGAAAAAAGTAAAAAGTAAACTTCTGATAGCTTAGTGCATTCCAAGATAGCTTAACTGCAATAGAAGAAACTTTCTACAATATACTGGCAGTGCTCTAGACTAAAATTACTTTAAAATAAAACCAAAAAAAAGTAACAAGCGTTCAGAAAGAACACAAATACATTACAATATTTAATAAACCAGTAATAATTAAAACAGCATGAAATATTAAAAGAAACAAAAAGTAGGTGAACTACTGGCATTTCCAGAATGCAGTCCAGTGGCCTTACACTAGGGGATAGCCGGCAGATGTCGCAATGCCACAATGGTTCTGTCGGTCTTTAGCCATGTAGATGTAGCCTTTGTCACCCCATTTCTCAGTCCAGCTAAAAGATACAGAACAAGTTTAAAAACCATGCAAATGAGGTTGTTAAAGGTTATTGAAAAAATCAGAACTGAGTGCATCATTAAAAGGACTCCAGAGGCAAGTCATACCTGTTCTTCACAATCCAGTATCTCTTCCCAGCAACATCAGCACCCTCATAACCATAACCAACCACCAGGACTGCATGGTCAAGTTCTACACCACTGCACTCCCTCTCATAATAGATGCCTACAGTAGAAAGTTAGAAATGAGTAAGAGATGTTCAGTCTGACTCGGGTTTAAAGGCAAGCCATGTAGTTTTGTAATAGCTCATACAAGTTTTTGCATAATAAACAAATCAGAATTAGACCGTTCACACAGCTCAGCGATAATCACTCACCAGACTGATAGAACTGGAAGGATTCATGTCCAGCATCAATGGCAACAGCTACAGGACCCACAGCAGCAACAGCCCTCATTAGAGCATGTTCTTTACCACTGGGAATGTCCACAAAACCAGTGTCATTAACAGCATTATAACGGGGGTCATAGCGGCACCGCTGATCGTCCTGTATTTGTAATAAAAAAAAATTTAAAAAGATTTACATGTGAGGTTACTGAATATACAATGATACATGTTTGAAATGGGAGTAAAATCTTTAAGGTTGACACCCACAATATATTAACTACCATTACAAGTCAGAAAGAGCAAACCACTGATTCTTACCATTCCAAGGTAGGGATACGACTCTTCTGAATCCAGCCCATTGTTGTCCTGAACATACTGGAAAGCCTGGTCCATGAAGCCTCCATTACAGCCTTGATTGCCCTCCGGCCTGGAACAGTCCATCAAGTTTTGCTCACTCAGAGAAACCAGCTTTCCAGTTTTGCGGAACAGCTGACCCTCCAAGGCACCTGTTGAGCTGAAAGCCCAGCAAGATCCACAACGTTTCTAGGACCACAAAACAGGACTTTGCTACCAAACAGTCAAGCAACATGCAGTTTTTGAAATATTACCAGATACAGAATAAACATAAGCTCCAGGAACTAGTTTGATAAACTGCTTACTTGGTCTTTGATAGGAGTAACATAACCCTTCTCTCTCCAGTCAACCTGTTGAGGGGCTTCAAAAAAGCTGGGTTCCATGAACAATGAGCCTTTTGATTTCCGGCTGGGGTCATGATTGTA